CATACTTCCACAATGGGAACTACATTTCCAGTGTGTGAACCCTCGTAAGACAAACCACACAGAAACCAAAGCAGCTACCCCCAGGACACATATTTATAGGCAAGAAACTGAGAGATCCAGGCCCAGAGTCAAGCTCAAAGCCCACATGCATTTAGTACAGTGCTGTTTCACAGCCATGGACTCTGTTATTCTACTAACACCCTGTCACGATTTCTACAAACGAGTTAAACCACTTCTAGGAGGACCAAAAACTAGAATAAAACCCCCAGCATCAATGGATTAGGCAAGATAATACTGTCCACTTACATCCTTAGTGCTTGAAAGAGCAACTTCACGGAAGTGTTTGCTTCGCCGCATACAGCAGGGAAAGCTATCTAATGCATGGACAGGTCTTATTCTGTTGTCCAGTATAGCGAGCACAGCAAGTGGCACATAGAAGGCAGCTGGTAAGTACCAACCGAGTGACTGAATTAGATCATAACTGCACAAAAGTTGCCTCAAGTTCTTCTTGCCTTTGAGTGTCCATAGAGATATGTAAAAATCCACATGCCAAAATCACCTAGATCTCTTATCCAAACTCTAGTGTCTATAGAAATTGTAATGATCTGAAAGTTGACAGCAGGTCATCTGGATTTTTCCCAGAAGAAATAGAAGGAAATAACCCTTCCCCTACTCTGTGCTCTGGGGAACAAAACTACTTGCGCAAGTTAAATGAGGTACATTCGGCTTGTGCTTCCAAATTCCCAAACCTGGCCTGTGTGAGACACTTTATACGTACAGAATCTATGAATAGTGCAAAAACTGAAGCAGAGTGGCTTAGTCAAGGTCACAAAAATTAGAACAGGCAGGACGGAAACTCCAACCTGGTCTGTGATGTCAGAGTCCATCCACTTCCCATAGTGCTGTAGTTTATTCATTAAAGATTCATTGAAATAGACAACTATATTGATCATGATACCTATATCATGATGCTAAAACTACATTCAATGTAGTAGCATTGAATTATGATTACAAATTGTGATTACAAGTATTAGGGTTTTTATTTTTTACTTGCACTGATAGAACTGCTTTTAGTCTTAGTCCATGTGATTTGAGTCATTAAAATACACCTAAAAATGTGAGATGAGATTACCCTCTTGAAATAGTCAGTAATGTGTTCAAATTAAACAAAATTTGTCCAAAAAAGCCTGCAAATGTCCCTCAGTTTGACAGATGGCCTACAAAACTGACAAATTCTTTTCATGTATGAACAAATTAGCACCACTGCTTTGCAAGATGGCTCTCCCATCAGGCAAACATAGAGGTAGGACCTCATGGATCCAACTCAACAGCATTTCTAAGTGTTTAGCTTGGATCTGCATTTAATTCTTCTGCCTCAATAGCAGTAAACTACCACTTAAAACTTTACCCTAATGAACATGACAACTACCCAAGATTTTTGCACTAGCCGTGCAGTAGGTGATGACAGTGAAGGATGAAGGTATACTACTTAGAACTAAAACAAACTGTAGTCGGCAGTCTGGCAATTGAGGTCCTGATTTGCAAAATTCTTTCCTCTGGTGCTAAACTCAGCACCTTATGGAAGTGATACAGTGTCTTCATTCAACACAGGGACTGTGGCAAGCCAAAGTGAATGATTTTTATGCTGCATGTCACTGCAGGTTGCAGGCTAAATAAATAGGAAGACCATATAACAACGCTGAAGTTTGTTCCAAACTGTTCATCTTGCTGACTCCATGGACCTATATTATCACTCTTTGGGCCCTAGAGTTGCAAGAAAGATGGTGATCACCATTTCCTCCTAGCCCAGTCCTGTAACACAACATCGGATGGGAGCTGTGGGTGGGGTAGGGAGAAGGAACCCACAGCAACCTAAGGACTTGCTAACTGTGGAAATGATGCTCCCCTTTTCCAGAATTGTGCCCAAGTCTTCGATAGGATCAAAGGCCTTCTGTGGCTCCCACTGAGTCTTGAAGGGTGAAAACCAGCAAACTAAAGATGTTTTTATTTATATGTGCATTCTGGTAAATTCCTGGTTTCTGTGATGCTCCAAAATGCTCTCGACACTATCTTTGGCCTTTTTAGTCTGCAGTGATATTTTCATACTTAATCCTGCAACTCAGACATCACAACTGGTTTTGTTTATAATCTATACACATAAAATTTTCCATAAATGCAGGGTGTGGAAAGAGCTAGAACTGGTCAACATAGTTGCTCCTAGCAAATTACTCCAAATATCAACTTGCCTTGGCTTAGAACATTATTTTTAAAGAACAATTTGTAAACCAGTCTTATATGTGCTTTAAGCAATTGGCTAGACAAACTATTTTTGACTTTATCTTGATGGTTAACTAAACAATAAAGTCTTACAGTGTCTTTTAATTTCAAGTTCAGTAATATATCAGACTATCACAGTTAAATCATATGGATAGCTTCAGAATATTTGAATTATCTGTGCTCTTTACGCTGCTAGCAAATTTATCTGTGCATAGACATTTAAAATTCAAAAAGCCATCAATTAAATGTGTTTAATTAAAAACTCATTGAGAATAAAACAAAATACTGTCTCTTTTAAAATCTGTTTTCCTATCTCTGCATATCTGTAATTGATGTATGTCTTATCAATTAATCATTAGCTATAAAATGCTCAGTTTGGTATTATAATGACAGATAAAGAACTGACAAGCATCAAATATTTCTAACTTTTACTGGTACATAGGGATCTTCTACAACACACATATATGAATGAGATAAGCACACTATTTTCTTGAATTGATAATCAGGTCACACAAACCTTTATTCAGACCAAAAGCTGAAAGCATTACTAAGCAACTAAGTATGATATGTTTCCAGTAACATTCCTTCTAAAATATCTCATGCTAACTAAAAAGACAGTATTCCAGAAATATGCAGAAAATCTTATTGATTCCTAAATGTAAATGTATTCCATTGATTCATTCCTCAACTCTAAGGAAAACACAAAAGATACATTGAAAAATGTGTACCATTGAGACAAGTTTCAAACTCTTATCATTAATTGCTAATAAATGCACATCAAGGTGAGCCTTAGTGATACCATTTGCATTTCCATGATTGAGTTTGTTGGTCTTTATCTTACAGAGCTTGAATAAGGTTAGTCTACCACATATTAGAAAAGGGTTGCAGTGAAAAGTCTACCATACATTAGAAAAGTGTTGTAGAGCACTTGATTTATCAACCATAGGTTTTAGAAAAGTATCTCTTTACCCTAACAAAACTAATGACATTTTGTGTGTTTTGTTGCTTTTTGGTGCTGAGGATCAAATCCAGGACCTCATGTGTATTAAACAACTGTTCTATCCCTGAGCTATATATATCCCCAGCCCAAACCAACCAGTTGTTAACACAAGTGTCGCATCATAACATAAAAGAGAAATCCTTTCCTAATGCAGCATTAACGAAGCAGAAAAAACATTGTTGCCTAGCTACACTAGAAATTATTTTTATGTAAAATTAAGTTTTAGTAAAACTTAAAGAATTTTTAACTCGCAGTTCTTGTCTCTGCCCTATACATATATGGTTTAATATACATACTGTAGTACATACACACATAATTGAATATATGCATTCAATTCATCATCAACCTTCAAATAGTATCAAATGTAGAAATTCCATTTCCATTTCACAGGGAAAGCTGAACTGCTTGAGAGATAAGATGGAGAATACGAGCAACTTTTGTTTAAATTGGGCTGCCCTTTAAATCATACTGCACAGACATGAGCAGAAAGAGGAAAATTCTAATTTTAGAATCTGCAGCATATAAATATTTCCACTAGGCAAACTGTCAAGACAAACTGGATAGAAATAATGAAATTAGGTCTGGACTTTCTTGACTACGCAACTGGAAGCAGAAAAACTTCATACAAGAGTCCTGTTTAGATTACACAGACACACACACACACACACACACACACACACAATTTTCCACCAAAGACAGCTTTCTTCTCTTCCCAAATTGTCTGGTTAGCTAATTTCTAGACACTTGTGTGTTCTACTTTTTAAAAATAGAAAATTATTGGCTCTTTTATATTCCTCACTCTTACCCTGAGTTATTGTGTTTAAAATTCATCTTTAGTGTACAAATGTTGAATGAAAATCTGAAACTGTACCCAAAGTTTAATAAAGAAAAAAAGCTGATATACAGATAATTTATGTAGACTTCAAAAAGACAATCCTAGTGATTACATAATCAGAACAAACAGAATTTTAAAAATTTAGTCATGTAAACCTTTCTATTTTCCATTGTACTTTTACTAATGTATTGGAAATAAATCTATGGACAAGAGAATTCTAATCATCTTTGGTGTCAAAAGGGGAGAGACAGCAGATGGTCCATGGCAGTAATGCAAATTCCATTATCACCCAGTCCCCCTAGCACAACGGTGTTTACTTTGTCCCTTCCAAATACAGTACAGCTACAGTATACACTGTCCCTGCCAACTTTTCCCAATGAAAAGGCAAAAAAGCTGCTTCCCTTTTTTTTCATATCTTAGGGGAAAAATGACATGGATGAAGTAATCCTATTAAGCTAAGAAAAAATAAACAATATAGACAGTTACAAACTCTATATGTAACATATCCAAGTTTTAAAAGATTGATACTTCCTTGTTAAGAAATTCTTAAGAGATTTATCATCCTTTTTTTGAAATGTTAAAAAATGAATTCCTTAACATTTACACAAATATCTTGATAGTTCATGGAAGAGACAATTTATTAAACTAGAGATATTCATTAATATATATGGAAATGTTAAGTATTTTATTCTTTTCTTGCAATATCTAATTATTGATAAATACTCATCATAGATCATTATACCTTGAAATGCATAATATATATTAAATATATATTCTAATAAGAACTTCAAGATAAAGCAACTTAAGGCTTGGTAATTTAAAATATCTACATTTTCAATATCTAATATTTCTTCCATAGCTCATACATATCTTTTGTTATTATCTTACCACAACGATTTTATCATGAATCTCCAGTCCATGGACTTTGTCAGCAGGTCCATTTTCTAAAATTTTTGAAACATAAATCCCTTCAGTTGACGATTCTTCTGGATTATTCTATAAGAAATGTAAGCATTAGCAGAAAGAAATACCTAAAAGCAAACTTTTTACTAAAGGACAGTTTTCTAAATGAAACATTTCCAATCATCCTTAACTAAGCAACACTCAGCTGGGAATTTGGCCCAGAATTTTACCTTACTTAAGTCATTAATCAAGATGGCAGCTTTAATGAACATGGCCAGCATCTCTGACAGGATTATCTGTCTGCTTCCCATTTTGGTTGTACGTAACAAGCTACAGGGACAGGGCCTACTCAGGTGACAGCAACTAGCTCCTGTTATTTTTAAAACATTTCATGTCCCCAGTGAAGTATAAGTAAACAGGGTGATAAACATATAGAAGACAGACAGAATATCCAGCCTCTATTAAATAACAGGTTTTAGATATGGTCATAATTTTGAAAAAGATAGAATTTATCTTCACAATCATTCTGACAAACTTGGAAACAGCACGGACCAGTTCTATTCTCAGAGAAGACTGGGATCTTGCTCCATTGTGAAATCCCAAAGATCAACTGAAAACTGCAAGGAAACCCAGTCAAAGCTAATCTTTACACATTTGCAAATACAATGTGTCTAATGACTAGTTAAACCTCAAACATGCTCCTCATGGTACCAATAGGACACTGTAGCCAATCCAATAAACCAATTATATTTTAAATGTACTTAGGGAAAATGTTCATCTTATAGTAATATATTTTCTTACTCTGTCATTCTACTTTAAGGTAGATTAAATATTATTCCTCCTTACTTAGCCAGCTTTCACATGACTTTTAAGAGGCTCTTAACAATCTTCCATATCATCTCAATATCAAATATCTAACTGATGCTTGTAAAAATATCGTTTGGGGAAAACAGAACAAAAACAATTTGATGATAAGATTTCTATCTTCACATAATAAGTGGGGTCTCTGGGAAACAGAAGCACAGCAGTTGTTAGTTGCTAGGTTTCCTGGCTACATACTACACAAAGGAGGAACTAGGTCACCGGCATCCTGACCTAAGCATAACATATGGCCAGCAACGCTCAATTTCCTGGGACCATACATGCAATGCAAGGTGCAAAGACTCCATGGTATTACTGTGAAAATCAGAAAACATTACTTTCTTGATAACTTCACTTTTTTCCACGTGTGGTGAAAATTAAGCAGATGTAGAATCTGTAGGATCTGAAAGAACTTTGCAATTACAGTATATGATATGTTTATAATATGCACTTTGAAAATAACTGCCATCAATACAGGGGTCATTATTCATTCAATTATAAAGGAGTTAGTTTGGGAATTCAAAAAGATTTCAAATCAATTTTCTCTAACATGGATTCTCCTATGTAATTATGAAAACATTTCTGCTTTATTTCAATTACTCGTTCATTTAATGTACATTACTAACTTCGCAATCTGTCTTAATGTCTAAGAACTGAACAATCTGACTTAATGAGCAGGAAGTTCAGCCAGGCAAAATAATTGCCTAATATTATGGGATAGAAATTGCCTATATATGTATTACTGTGAAATGGGTTTAAGAAATGTGCCAAAGGTGTGACAAAATGCAGATAAAGTGTGCAATCTATGGGTCTTTTTTTTTCAGAATATAGTTCAGCGAGCTGTTTTCGTTTCCTTTAAGAAGGGAATCTAAGTAGGTACTGGAAATTGTATATGAAGGAATCTGGTATTTGATCATCAGCATAATCTTAAATACTGACCCACCTGTTTTTCTAACTAAAAATCTACAGATGAAAGGTGAACCTTCCATTATTTTCTAAGCAGAGAGGATAACAAAGCACAGCAACAAAGGGGTTACCTGATTTGGTCGACCGCCTATAATATTGAATCCCAAGGTGTCATTTTCTCTTTCCAACACAACAGTGAATGGCTTCTGTTCTCCATCCTGGAAGAAAAGTGACAAAATGAATATAACAGTTATTTTAAAAGCTTCAAAAGAAAATAAATACCATGATAAGGTTTTTTACATAAAGAAATTACTTGATATTATTATAAAGTATTTGAAAAGGAAAAAAGCTTAAAATTAAGGATGGCTGGTGTTGGTAGAAGGTTAGTGTCCTCCTGGACATACTCTGAAAGTATATATTTAAAGAGAATAACTTATGTGTCGAATGGAACAAATACTATTTTCAAAAATGACAAAATAGTTTTGGAGTTGACACCTGCAACATCTGATTTTGACATCTAATTTAAAACAGATTGACTTTCTGTTTAACCTCTCAGGAATCTTTATTTTTACCTTCTGTTCCAGAAAAGTAAAATCAATTGTCCATGAATCTTAGAGAAATGTTTTCTGTAATATTTTCACTTCAGACAGTCTTAGGGAATATAAAAAATACTGAGCTAGTCACGAATTTCTTTTGACTCTGGCAGTTGTATTTCTGCTGTAATGCAGCATCTTTTAGACTCCACGAAGTGATCCTCATTTCAAATAACAACTCCATTTGGTTTTACACGTCTTGAAGAATTAAAAAAAAAAGAGCATTCTTGCTAGGTAAACTAGTATGTAGTACGGGTACTGTCTTTCTTTCCTAATGGTCCAGTAATAGTTAAGCAAATAGACATTGTATTTACAACCTGTTTATTAGTAAATACCAATTTAAACATAAGAGAAGACAATGCTGGATGAGTTTTGGTCATGGCCATTGTCATTAGTAACTTATTTTAGGGAAGCAGCCATTTGGAGTTACTTCTGAAAGATAAAATTCTGTAAGGATTACCACTACCATCTCCACCACCGCCCTCGACAGCGCAGTTCCCACGCAGTGCACACAGCGGCCCCTACTGGTGGTGAGGGAACATTTCTGAGGAGCACGGAGCAGCTCTGCGCTCATTAATCTGCACACCAGGGACAGTTCCTCAGGTCCTCACTTCTCAGACCCGAGTTTGACGGGCTGCATGGCCCTCCCCACTCTATCATCCTAGCTGTCGCTCCTTTCCATCAACAGCTGCTTCCCTAAGACTCTGAAGCCTGGACTGGCACCGCAGAACATGTTTTGGGCGTCCCCCCAGGTCCCCCCATTTGTAAAATTACTTGTATATAAATAGGTCAGAGGAAGAACTCTGGGATCTCCTGTTAGTGCACTGTGCGCTTCCCTTTATCAGGATAGAAATCTTTTAGCCTCCCCCACCTTTTTTTTTTTTTTTTTTGGCTACTGGGGCATCTAAGCAGGACGCCAGAGTCAAAGGCAGCGCTAAGCTTTCAGCCCCAAACGGGAAGGGTTTGGCCTTGCTCCTCCCAAGGAATGCTGAAGACCGAAAACAGCTCCTTGAATGGAGTGCAAGTCCTGCTAAATCCCTGCTCACCATAGCAGCGACCAGCAGTGTCAAACACTGCAGAGTCCTCCAGAAGAGAAGCAGCAGCTCTATAAACACGCCTCGTCGCATAGGGCGCTGCAGAGGAGCTTGTTTATTCCTCGTGAAGGCAGGCAGCCCAAGAGCACAGGTCAGGACCAGCCGCTTCCACAAAGCAGGGAAACAGCCACGGCCTGGGGCTCTCGGGGCCGGGCTGACCGCTGACGGATGCGGCTGCTCTCTGCACCATCACACACTCACCACCACCGGTCACCCGGGATCCAGAGGCCAGGAAGGGTCACTCAGGGAAGGTCAGGCCGGCGAACCCTGCAGGTCTAAGAAATCCCATGTCCCAAGCCCCGAGCTTGTCCCGGTCCCTGCCGTCTCTCTCCCCGTCTGGAGCCGAGTACAGGGTGGTGGACGGACAGGGGCAGTTTGGTAGACGGCGAGGCATTCCCAGCCAATGCCTCCCCGTCTGGGATTTGCCTCAGGTACAGGCCAAGGGTTCAACACGCAGACACGGACGGTGGAGGACGACGGAGTCAGAGGGCGAAGGATGGGGACAAGAACCGGGTGGGAAAAGGAGTTTTCCCAATTCCTACTGGGGGGCGGGCTGGAACCGAATCTGTTTAACTCTTCCCGAGCCTCTGAGAACTGGAGGGGGGTCGTCCCTCGTCACCCGCGGGAGGGCATCGGGGGCAGATGACAGCCGCAAGGGTCGGCCGTGAAGAAGGACGCCGCCTGCCCAAAGCGCCCGCGGGGCGCCTCCCCGCCCCGGCGCTCGCGATCGCCCCGCGCCCTCTGCCCCGCG